CCAGTTCAGGGCTCCTCCTTGCTCGCCCCGGATTCTGGCAGCGCTCCCCTGTCTGGGGTTCTGCAGCTCCGTCAGCCGGCCACACCCCATCCACGCCCCGATAGCTCCAGCAAGGAACTGAACTCCCTCTGGCCTGCAGCTCTTCTTATACTAGGCTGCTGGGCCCTGATTGGTTGTGCCCCAAACGGCCACTCTTAGCGTGACTAGATAGCAAGGGTGAGAAATCGGGACGGGGTGGGGGGGTAATTGGCACCTATATAAGACAAAGCCCCAAATATCGGGACTGTCACTATAAAATCGGGACATCTGATCACCCTAGCCACTCTAGGCAGCTTGGAGAACTCTCTCCACTGCCCTTTTTGGGACTGGATGTGTCAGGGCCATGAGGGCTGCAGCAGGGGGCCTCAGAGGATCTGGTACACCCCATCACAAGGTGTCAGGTGTTTGTTTGTTTTTAAGAACTTCTATTTTGCAAAGCATAGGCACATTCGGCATCCTACAAACGAGGAAGTTAGGCATGAAAATGCAGATTACATGCACAGACAGGTGCATACAGAAAACTCAGACCCTTTGAAAATCTGGCCTTGGAAGTAAATCAAGCTGAAGTCCACAATTTTAATTTTCATCTGGAATCGCTTGAACAAAGCTGAGTGAGATCTTAATGGCCCTTTTCACATTCCTAAGTGTTTTGTGCAGAGGCTCTTAACTGGGTTCCTGGCTATGCGACGGGCTCTAGTGTCCTTAATCGAACAGGCCAATTCACAAAGAGTCTTTGTTTTGTCTCCATCCTTCAGCTTCACTCTAGAATGCCCTGAAGCCAACATGCCAAATTTGAATTCTGTCTTCAACATCCAGCCCCAGAAGGGGACGTTAGCCGCTGTTGACCGCCCCACTCAGATCCAGATCACCTTTCGCTCCAAGAAGGAAATGAAAATTGAAGATAAGCCTATCCTGTACTGCCAGGTGAGATGTCTGTAAAGACCTTGGCACAGGCCAAGCTGTGATGGCTATGACAGCCAGCTGATGGCGCCCTGTGTGCTGTGTATATTCCTTGTCACACACAAGTGGGGATGCACTGGTTAACTGAGGGATCCAGTGCTACCATCCAGGTATTTGTCAAAGCCTTCCATGATGTTCCCAAAACAGGGATGAGCATCCACCTCTAGCTTTGGAATAGGTATTTAAAGAGCCAGCAGTCCTGGCCTCTCCAGGCCTAGTTTCTCCTAGGATTGGAATTAAGGAGCCTGACCTTGAAAAAGCTCAAGGCTGCTCCAGGTTTAGCCTTTCCTAGCCAAAAAGTCCCTATAAGAAGAATAATGCCAGAGCGTAGAAGATTTCACTCTAAGCCCTTTTCAGCAGGAGTCACTGCAAGGAATAGTACTGACCCAGTGACTGGAGTAGAGAAGCATTCGCAGCTGCTCCATCATAGGTTTCTGTAAGAAGGATGGTTCAGGATGGCTGACTGTAAGAAAGTTCACACCCAGGGACTCCACGTCAAGCGTTCGCCAGTGGGAAATAGTGCAAGAGTGTTGGCGGTGGGGAAACTAGAATGATATAAAATGAACCTAGCGTACAATCAGTGGATTCAGACTGGCTAGGTTATAGGTCTCAAAATGTAATTGCAAATGGAGAATCATCATCAAGTGGATATGCTTGCAGTGGGGCCCTGCAGTGATCAGTTCTTGGCTCTGTGCTATTTAACATTTTATCAGTGACCTGGAAGAAAACATAAAATCATCACTGATGAAGTTTGCAGATGACACAAAAATTGGGTGGAAAAAAGTGGAAAATAATGAAGAGGTCAGGTCACTGATTCAAAAGTGATCTAGATTGCTTGGTAGGCTGGGTGCAAGGAAAAATAGAATTTGAATAGAGCTAAATGTATTCATTTAGGAACAAAGAATGTAGGTCATATTTATAGGATGGGGGAATCTACCCTGGAAAGCCGCAACTCTGAAAAAGATTTGGGGATGGTGGTGTATAATCAGCTGAACATGAGCTCCCAATGTAACTGTATGCCCAAAAGAGCTGGTGTGATCCTGGGATGCATGAACAGAGGAATCTCAAATTGGATTAGAGAGGTTATTTTACCTCTGTATTTGGCATTGGTGCGACCACTGCTGGAATCCTGTATCCAGTTCTGGTGCCCACAACTCAAGAAGGATGTTGGTAAATTAGAGAGGATTCAGAGAAGAGACATGCGAATGCTTAAAGCATTAGAAAAGCTGCCTTATAGCGATAGACTAAAAGAGCTCAATCGATTTAGTTTAACAAAGAAAAGGTTGAGGGTGACGTGATCACAGATCATAAGTATCTACACAGGGAACAAATGTTTGATAATGGGCTCTGCAGACAAAAGGTCTAACATGATCCAGTGGCTGGAAGTTGAAGCTAGACAAATTCAGACTGGAAATAAGGTGTACATTTTTAACAGGGAGGGTAATTAACCACTGGAACAATTTACCAAGGGTCGTGGTGGATTCTCTATCCTGACGATCGTTAAATCAAGCCTGGCTGTTCTTCTCAAAGCTCTGCTCTAGCATTATTGGGGGGAAGTTCTCTGGCCTGTGCTAAACAGGTGGTCAGGCAACGTGATCCCAGTGGTCCCTTCTGGCCTTGGAATCTGTGAATCCATGAAAGCTCCTAGGGACTTCTGCCAAGTCTTTGCAAGGGTAATCTTAGGAACGACAAAGGCCTTCAAGTCACCAGGGAACTGACACAAGCCGGGGGGAGTGCTTGGCTAAGTGTGCCATGGCTCCCGGGCTGTAGGCAGCAACTCTGTGGATTTATGAGACAGACCAGCAGAGTCCTCTAAACTCCGCTTGCCAATCCACCCTCCTCTGCCCAGGTGATTGAGCCCAATGTCTGTGAAGGAGGCGAGACCATTGCCAGCATTCCAGTGAAAGTGTCAGTGAATTCTTTGTTCACCAAGTACAGCATTTCCCCAGCCTCGCTCGTCAACTTTGGCTCCATGATGAACAGCACCCGGAAGACCTGCAGCTTCACTCTGGAGAACAAAGGTGCTCTTGATTTCAAATACTTCATCGGCAAGCTAATACGAGATCTGCCCATCCTACCAAAAAAGGGGTAAGAGAAAGCACCAGCAAATGCTGACGACTCTGTGCCTCAATTTCCCCATCTATGAAATGGGGGTGATGACACTGACCTCCATTGTAAAGCACTTTGAGCTCTGCTGATGACTAGTACTATAGAAGAGATAGGGCTTATTAGTGCCCTTCTTTGTAAAGTGCTGGGATTTATGGATGAGAGATTGCATATGTGACCAGTGTTGTTGTTAATAGCCTTCAGCCAGGCATGCTCATGTGTGTATTTAATTTGGCACTTGCTCAGAATGGGTGTGCCCCTTCCTAGGGCAAGCCCAGCCCTGGGACAGTCAAACCCAGGAGGGGATTGGACACAGTGGAGACCCCAGCATGATGTATTTCTGCTGTTCCTTCCAGACCATCTCACATCAAGCACTCCCGTTCCCGTGACAGCGAGACCTTAAGCAAAATCCCTCCTGTTGGCAAACAAAGCAAGCGCACGGAATCTCTTCAGAAGGACATCAACCTTGTTGCGCAGGTGGGTGCATGTTCCAACCCGCTCCTTACATCCACTGCAGTGTCTGCTAAGGCCCTTCTCCAGTCTGAGTTCTTCCGCTCCCCCAGGGGTGACCCTGCCTGGGCAGCTAGATCAGAGAATGTGCTGTTGTCATTCACGGTATGTCGGCTCCAGAGCCGATATTCTTACTCGGGGTGATTTTCTTTCTCACGTGCTTTCCCCTTTCTCTCCCCCAACCTCCCTCCTACTTTTCCAGGAAGATATTTCTCCTTTTTGTTTTGCTCCCCACCAGAAATCAGGATCCTTGCTGTTTTCCCCTCCCTTTACTTCCCAATCCCCCTTCCTTTGACCAGGGAGGATCAGATGCTGCTGCTTCTACAGTTTGGCAACATCACTCTTATGCCGACCAGAAGGTTTCTGGTGCTTCCCCTGCCGCCTAGGGCAGGGGGACAGAGGTAGGTTCCTGAACTTGGCTGTGTGCACATGACATGACCATTAAACTGAAAGCCCAATGCTTTGTGCATCCTCTTTAGGAGGCTGTTGGAGTACTGAGAGTTCATTCCATGTCCTAGCGGCTCCAGGGAATGTGCAGTGGTCATGACTGGCTGTAGGGAAGCAGGGAGAAATGAAGGGAGTGGAATGCCCCTCTCCTGGGACTGTTAACTGGCAGGATATCTGAGGCAGGCTTTCTCTGGATTCTTTTGCAGGCTCGCTTCACTCTAGGCATGTTCACAGTGTATCCTGGATTTGGATCCATCCCTGCAGGAGGCCAGCAGATCATCACAGTTGATTGTTTAGCAGAGCCAGTGGGAAAGTGTGAGGAATACCTGGCCATTGACATCACCGACAGGGACCCTGACGATAATCCGGGAGGCATCCCATACACCTTGATTGCTGAGTCATGCCTACCAGGTATAGACATGTTCTGTACAGCCATTGGCTGAATCACTGCGTCCACTCCCTCTTCCCCAAGGAGCATATGGAGCGGGGTTGCATTATCCCTGACACCCCCCTTGAGAGAGAAGATGGCTCATCTTGAAAATCTCCACTGCCTGCCTCCATTCCTTGCTGGATTTGGCAGCACATTATGGGATAGTAGGTAACCAACTCTCATGCTTCAGAGTGTAAACTGACCACTGCAGGCAGGCTCAGGAAGGCGTTCCCCCTCGCTGGTGTCCAGCCTAGGTGTGCTGTAGGGAGCAGGGAGGACTGTTTTCTTTTGCGGCATCAGCTGGCAACTGTTGGAGGTAGGAGGCAGAAGCTGACGAACCAGCGATCTGATCCACCGGGTCAGTAAGGGGAAGGGCCAGTGACCCCTGACAGCCTGTACCGTTATTTAGCTGTCACAGAGGTATCCGGTATTTCCTAATGTTTCACTGTGTTTTCCCCTGCTTGCTTCTGGCTCAGTCCTGGCTGACGAGAGAGAACGATCATTCTCGTTCCCCTTTGGTCTCATCCACAGCTGTTGAGGCACCTCTTGGCCTCCCTTTCTCTTGACTGAACATTCCTACTCTCCCAAACTCCACAGGTCAAATCTTGCAGCCTCCTCCTCTGCGCTGCCCCCAGCTTGGGTCACCCTTTCAAAGCCTGGTGTCGCAACAGTCACCACTGCAGAGCTCCAGCAGGAGCTGAGTAGATAGCGTTTCTCAGCACGGGCTTGCACAGCTCCTTCTGGGCCTGAGCCAAGCCCAGCTGAAGTCAGTGGAAAGTCTCTCAATGAATTCTGTGGGCTTTGGATTGGGCCTTCTATCCCCTTCCTTCCCAAGAGAGGCTGGCATCTGGAAGGGCTGGATAGGCTGACGGAGAGGCCTGCAGCATATCTGCTTTGCCATTCCCTAGTTGCTGTTGCTTTTTTGCCATGAGGGATCAAGAGAAAAGAGGTGGCCTGAGGAATAGATTCTGGGCCAAACCCTGAAGTGTGTGCTTCAGCTGTGCTCCATCCTCACTGGAGCAGAATGTATCCAAGTCAAAGGAACGGATAAGGGCTTCAGGGTATGACCCGTTGTAAATAGGACAAGGGCGTTAGGGAGCAGTTCTACCCTGGGCTTAGTGGAAGAATGCATCATGCTAACCTCAAGGACCAGATCAGGCCTGTTTATGGGGCAGTGCAGTGCCAGGTTGCCCAGAGAGCCATGACAGCAGGGAAAGCACAGAGATGTACCTGTGATGTCAGTTACCGTTTTTGTGTACAACGAATGTTCTCTCCTCCTGATAGTTTTGTCCCCCATGGAGGCCCTTCCATACAGGAATACAGCCTGGAGAGCTGGGTTTTGTTAACTTTGCCACTGGTGTAACACCACACCCCTGGGGGGTTATTGGCAGTGGGAATTGAACCTGGGCTCTCTGGTTCTGAAAGCCTGAGCTGCTATTGCTGGAAATAAATGTTGGCTCAGACTGTAGTGGGCTCATCGACCCCTCTCAGAGTGGCCCAGCCATCACCAATGTGGGACAGAGTGCCACACTGAGTGGCTGCAGGGTAGACAAATTCAGGTGATAGAGGCACATGCCTTAAGATCCAGAGGTCTGAGGTTCAATACAAATTGCTGACAACTCACTCAGGAGTGTGCCATTGCCCTGACTTGTGCAAACAGGATTCTGGAGTCAAGCTCATCCTGCATTAATGTCACTGAAGTCAGTAGCATTGCTCCCAAGACAAACTAGGCCTGTGTTTCTCAGCCAGAGGAGAACACACTGTCTCCACTGTCATGTCTCTCTTCCCTCAGCCTTTGTGGTCGATGACATCGGGTCCATTTTTGAGGAACATCGGATCTGCAGCAACATCAACCTTTACCAGATCCTGCAGGCAGTGGAAGGTGGAGGAGTGTTTGTATCAGATGAGAACAAGTTCATCTTCAGTAACGTCCTGGTTGGGCACCAGGCAACAGCTCGGTTCAAGATCGCCAATGTGGGCAGAATTCCTTGTGACGTGGTCCTCGCGGTCAAGCCTGTCTCCAGCAAGGTCAGAATAAGAGCTGAAGGGTCGGGTGTGGGACCATCCCCTGGAGGCCCCACAAGCAAGTTGGAGTTTCATGCAGGGTTTCTGAGATGTGTGTCTCAGCCTTGCCTGGTCTGGAGCAGTGCAGGGTAATAGAATGTCACTCCCACCCCTGCCCAGCAGTGTTAGACTGCTGCCCATACTGATCCTGCTGCCAGATCCACAGTGAAGCTCCGATCGGCTCAGTGCTGGCAGTGCCTGGAATGAGGTACGGGAAGCTGAGCACCGATCACATGGGATCTGATTAGTAACCACGTCCTGTGAGGAAGAAGAAAGCAATCCCTAAGGAGTCCGAGACAGAAATGTGTTATGCTCTTACAAAGCACAACTGATCTTTATAGAGGAAGGTAAATACACAGCATTTAGAGGGTCATCCTGTCCGTTGTTCCAATTTAATCAATTGTCCTTAGGGGTGCCAGCCTTCGCCAATCTGCCCTTCATTATGGATGTGCGTTGATGATTCTTTGATGTCCTTTAAGTCTCTTCACTCCTTGTTCCTTGACTCTGGCTATAACAATGGCCTTCACATCTTATCTTTTCCTGATGCATACATTCCTCATTCACACAAACAGATTGAGAATACAAACAGTAGTATTTTATATTGAGCAAAAAGGCATTGCAAATTAAACCCTGCTAAGTTTTACAATCAATAACCAAGACAATTTACATTAGGACCCAGGCCTTCAATGTTCCTCTAATCTACTTAACATAGACACAGTATGGAATCCTGTCTCTTACTTACTAAAACCTTAAAACAAAGAAATGTATATTTAACTAGAGTGCCTATATTGTAATACATATAGGAAACCATAGTAGACATTATAACTTATCCTAAAACAAAAGGGTGACCATAATCACTGATAAGGATTGTTCTGATCTGTCATTCCTTTCTGCTATTCAAAAAGGGTGGCTGACAGGATGAAATCAAATCATACATTAATTCTCATAGTACATTATAAAATCAAGCTCCTACAAATGTCCCCTCTCTCCCATGGGGTGACAGAGACCCCATTCCTCACAGCAGCCAGTCAGAAGAACCCAGCAAACGGTTTTGTGATAAGAAACCCTAATTATCCCCACTTCCACTGCCAGACTTGCCAGCATCCCACACTGTGAGAAGCCCCTTCCTTAAGTCGATCCTGACCCTTGACAAAATGATACCCAGAGGAATGGCACTGATGTGTTGGTCTGCCCTGGTGTAAAGCCAGTCTGGGTTGTTTTCAGCACCTTTTGATCTCTTTTCCTCTTCTTCAGCTGGACGGCTTTCTCTCCTTTAGTCTGGTGGTTAGTGAGAATCATGATAGACACAAAGGGGCTGATGAGCAATAAATAATCTGGGCACTGAAGTGTGGAGTTAACTGAGTGACTAATACAGCCATACAAACAGCTATCTGCTGTGCTGCAGTGGTGGGCCCTTGCCTTCAGTTATCACACACGGTTGTCTCAAATACCCCACTATTTCCCACCACTTGGAACAGGATGTGGTTTTTCTGATTCTGACAGCACATTTGTTGAGTCAAGAAACATGCTGTTTGACATCCCTTCCTGTGACAGGAGTGGACAACCTCCTGACAGCTGAGGGAAGAGTCTTGCCCATGTGGCTCTTACACTGTGTGTGTTTTGTGTGTGTGAATTTCACTGACTGTGGCTATGGGAGGGGTATTTCACAACCACCCCGCTGTCTGGGTTTCCCTAAGGCTGCTGCCCGCATTAATGACATCTTCGAGGTGGATCCCATTCGGATGTGCGTCCCCAGCCGCTCCCATGCCTTTGCTACCGTGACTTTCACCCCACAGACGATGCAGAGCTACCAGTGCGTTTTTGAGGCTTTCATTGATGGACTGCCAAGGTAAATTAACCCACTGCTTCTTGGGGGCGGGCTTTCCTGTTCTCTGTTTACATAGCAAGCATGTGCCTGGAACAATGATTTTTTTCCTACTCCCTGCAGCTTGGTTGCAAAATCACGAAATTTAACATTTGATATCATCGGGGATGGGAACTTCCCCCGAGTGACCATCTTGCGCCCTGTCCTCCGCAACAAAAGAGGGAACCCACTGCTCCTCTTCAAGAGGCTCTTGCTAGAGCGATCGGAGAAACTCCCTTTTGTCCTTAAGAACAGTGGCATGATACCTGTCCAGGTAATAACTTGCTAGGCAAAAGCTTAAAAGATGGCACTGAAGCAAACTCTCCTCCTGTTATGGACAAGCCTTATAGAACTTAATACAAATGAAGCCAGTAGAGATGTCTAGAAAGCACATTAAAACTCCATGGAATTGAATAGAGAATGAGATCCCTTCTGCATGTGTTTTGAACCATCCTATAGAATTCCATAGTAAGGATATAATTCTCTATTAAACTCCATAGGGTGTTTCTGGAGACCAATAGAAAAGCTCCTATTTGCTATCAGATTCTATAGGACAATTCCAAAGGGGAAGGCTTTTGATTGGTCATCTTTGTCTCCTTTCCAATAACTTCTTCACTGTCTTCTCCTTTCTGTGCCTTAATAAACCACTAAGGGCTTGTCTACACTTACATTTTATAGCGCTTTAACTTGCTGACTCGGGGATATGAAAAATCACCCTCCTGAGCGCAGCAACTCTGAGCGCTTTAAAGCCCAGCGCTCGGAGCTAATCCCCTCGTGGAGGTGGATTACCAGGCGAGCTCTCTCCCAGTGCTCACACGCAACCACACTCGCATGTCAAAGCACTGCAACGGGAGCGTTCCTGCGGTAGCCCTTTGAAGTTTCCAGTGTAGACATACCCTAACTGAAATGGATGTCAGTCAGCCAAGAGCGCAAATGACTGACTTTCACTTACTTGCCCCTGGGGGCGTGTGATTTTTCTGACCAATTTGTCATTCTTACTTAACAATATCAGAAGAAAACTGTTGTTTTCCTCTTCACAGTTTGGTTCTAATTATGAGAATGCGTCTGTTACATTCTAATTCCATTCTGCTCTACATGATTACATTTTAATACTGTCTAATTACATTCTATTCTATTTGATTACCTTCTAATTACCTTCTATTATGTTCTAATTCCATTCTACTCAGTTACATTCTATTCTATTTAATTCCATGCTATTACACTATAATTACATGCTATTCTACTTGATTGTAATTAGAAAATATTAAATTCTATTTTAATTCTATTCTATAGTTACCTTTTAATACTTTCTCCTTACAATCTGTTCTATTTGATTACCTTCTAGTCGCGTTCTGTTGTATTCAGATGAATTCTAATGATAGTCTGTTCAGTTTCAGAGGAATATAGTCTGTTCTGTGTGATTACATTCTAACAGTGAAAGCAATGAGTGTTTGGTTCTCTGGAACATCGGTAACATTCGATGACTCCACTTGCTGCCCCATATCCTAGCCCATGTTGCCATGCTTTGTGTTTTTCTTTCTCCAGGTGATGGTTGACCTGTTGGATGATTATGGAGTTTTCTCACTGAAACCCAGGCCTACCACTCACTGCCTCTATGTGGCTCAGAGTGAGGGGGATGAATCAGGCAGAGAAGGTAAATGCAATGAGCCTGGCAGGAGTGAAGAATTCCAGCAGCTCTTGTAGGGGATGTCTTCAGGTGATTGGCACCCGGGTCTGAGCCCCAAAACTAGACTAGCCCAGGAGTGAGCAGCCAGGCCAGAAAGTGCTGCCTGAGTTACTGGGTCCTCATTGGTGCTGCAGACACCGGGACGTCTGGGGCATTTCCCATGGATCTTTGTGCCGCAGTGCGTTGAGCTGCTCTGTGATTCCTTCCCAGTGAATTGTGGGAGAATTTGTCCTTC